ATAATAAAGACATGCAGTACAAAAAGGGTGGTGCGAAAAGACAGTTAGTAAAGGATAAGACAAGTGATATGTTCAGCTGGAAAAAGTGCAAAAAAAAGAAAGAAAATTCCCCCCAAAACATCCCAGAAGATCTAAATGAGAATTTGATGGACATCGATGATGATGACCTCCCTGATCTGACTGCTTGCCAAGCTGTGAAAGGTAGAGTGGCCATACAAGTTTATTTTGTAATATTAAGAAGCTATAAGATCTAAAGTAATAGGTATGTAATATGATTTTCATATCTCTGGATGTAGGAATAACAAGACTTTCCAGTACGTTCCTACATATTACTGAAGAAATTAAAATATTCATTACTGTTATCTATAATTTCTTGCTTTTCTGAAAACATTTGTATTTTCATTATTATTATTTCTTGATTATAGATTTTTTTCAAAATGTGCTTGTAAGAAATATAATATTTAGGCAAATTTAAGCAATTTCTTTTAGAATGATGGAACATTTGGGATATACATGTATGGTGGCTCAGATGCTCTCATGTCCAACCTGTTATACCTGAACAGTACCAAGATGACCCATTCAGGTGGGCATAGATCGCCAGCCCATCCCGACAAGGATGTGATATTGTGTCACCCCCCCCATTAAGGGTTAAATATTAACTACTGTGAAAATTATCATTTTCATATATATACCCAAAGCCAAAAAAGGGATTAGTGTACAGTATATTCAAACATTTTTGATGTCATTAAGGATACTTTATTATTAGTCGTTGGGTTATTTGGTTCTAACCTGCCAGCAACCAGGCATGGCAGTTCTATAAGATCAGCAGGTTCTTGAATGTTTGTACCTTATGCACTAATCCTTTTATTATTATTATTATTATTATTCTATCTAGTATACAATGTTGAAGATAACAGTTTTCTATGCCAGTCATATAGGGGATTGAAGTATTTCATAGGACAATGAAGTCTATTCTCAGAACAAGCTATGTATTTATCAGGCATCTATTTTTTTATATGGGTTCTTTCACTTTGGGTATACACTGATATTTTTGTTGAAAATAAAATTATTGGTAGCCAGACAGAAAAGAAATATTTAGATGATTAACATTGACATAACTTATCCACACACTGTAACACATTAATTGCTTATTTTTCTCTTGTCGCAGAAACTCCAAAAGTAGAAATTCAGGTAAATGATCTGATTTGGACTTTGCATAGAGGTATGTGGTGGCCTTCATATGTTAAAGCAAAATATGGGCGGGATAAGAAAGTCTCGGTGTTTTTCATTGGATGTAGCCAGGCTGTTGCAATCCGAGTGAGATGGACAAATACAAGACCATTCATCAGTGACCATATTCCTCCATGTGTGGTAAGTAATTGCACTTGTTCATATTATCAGTTGTATTACATGTTTAGGGATTTTAAACATAGAAGTCACATGCTAAAGAAATGATAATGCTTATGTATCTGCATAGGTAGTGTACCCCAATTTGTATTTACTTTTTTCACATGCAGGTGTTCAGTCTTTTTCCTAGAACTGTTTTTAATGATAGGTTGTAATAAGATTGTTGCTAAATTCTTAGAAATAATTCTTTGAAAATAAAGTGTGAGTTGTTTGTAGTGTTCTCTCTTCTGTCTCTCTCTTTCCCTTCATCTTTGTCGCTGACTCTCTCCCTCTCCTTCTCCCCCTCCCTCCGTCTCTCTCTGTCTGTCTCTGTCTCAGTCTCTGTCTCTGTCTCAGTGTCTCCCTTCCTCCTTCCCCCTGCACCCTCCCCCCCTCCCTCCCTCCCTCCCTATTCCAATCCTTCTCTCCCTCCCATCATCATTTACTCTTGTATTACTCCATCAATTTTGCCTCTTAGGATGAGTCTGCACAAGGTCTGTCAGAGCTTTGCAAATCTTTTTCTCAGTTGCGAGAAAATAGAAGTGATATTACACCACATTGTTTCTTCAGTCTTCCTGTAGAGAGTAAGTACATGTCATACTTATTGAATTTTTGATTGGTGATTTAGGATGATTGATGATGATGATTGATGATGATATGAAAGATGGTAATACTAATAATAGTGATAATAATGATAATGATAAGTTATGATGATGATAATAGATGTATTGATATAGTGATAATACAGATGGTGATAAAGATAATGATAATAGTAAGGATGATGATGGTAATTATATTAATAAAAATAGTGATTATGAAGATAATGATAATGATTACATAGTGATGATAATGATAATAGTTATAATGATGATAATAATGATGTGAATGAATATGGTAAATTTCTGGACAAAATTTTAAAGAAACTTCAATTAAGAGTAAAAAAGACAAAAGATTTTCTTTTTCTTATGGAATCCTGTATTTCTGAAAAATTGTTTTTACTCAGTTGGATAGCTTAAAATATGTATTTTGCTTACTATTTTTAATTTTATTTCATTGTTGCATAGAACAAAATGCACTGATGAATGCAAACTCAACTTCAAATGAAGATCTACGT